TAAATCTATCTTTGATGACTTTGTGGCCTTATAAAAAAGACAGATGTGCTTTATTTTCAAGAAATCTCTAAGGCCCATTATTACCACCCCAAATATAGGGAGCAGGGAAGACAACTCTTTTTGAGTCCGCTATATATGTCAAATGACATGCTGAGTGTTTTCACTCATGTTTTTATTTTGTGTAACAGTCTATGAGGCAGGTGTTATTATTACCTCATTTTACAGATGAGGAAAATGAGGCCCAGAAAGAGAATAAATAACTTGCCCAGATTCACACAGATAGGCAAGTGGCAAAGTAGAGCCTGGACCCAAAGCCTCCTAGCCCCAAAACGTAGAACTAAAATATATTTTGTAGAACTTTACAAATAGAACTATGAGGAGGTTATTGTCTCCCCAGTTCACTCTTCGGTTTTCCTTACCATCCACCAAGGCCAAGTACATAAGTCGTCTTATTTCTGAAGGAGTTTACTATTAAGTGAAGAAGAGAAAAGACAAAACACAAAACCAAAGCAGAAAGGGGGATGTTACAAACAATGCAAACGTCTTAAGAGGACTTATTTCTCTTTTTACCCCTAATCTATATTTTCTGATTCCTTTTTTGAAATGTTTCATTCATCTGGCAAATATTTATTGTACCTCAGATGTGCCAAGCACAGTGCTCCCTGTATAGAAAGGAAATATCCCTAGGAGAGTTCTAGATGGTTCTTGGTTCTTTTGCTGGATCCCCTTCTGTCTCCTTTAACCCCACCCCATTAGTAATGGGATCGTCGTCCTTTATGGTCACCCTAACTAAAACCCACAGACAATTTCCTAATGATTCTCTTTTACCCAACTGTTCTCTAATCACTTATTGAGTCTCTGTCTACAATACCTTTCCTCCTTGCCTCCCCATTTCTACCATTTCCCCTGATTTAGGCCATTTCCTCCTACTTTCACTTTCAATAAAAATCTACTTGATCTCTTCCTCCAGTTGCTCTCCCTACCAATTAATCCTATGTACTATGGCTGAATTATTAAACTTCCTAAAGCACCAGCCTTGCCATTAATGGATTCCCATTTCCTCAGTATAAATTCCAAATTCTTTCACCTGGACTTCAGTCTGTTACCATTTAGCTTCTAATAATTTTCCTCTGACCTTCATCTGTACCCCTATTCCTACTTCATTCCAGCCAGACTGGAATGAGCCTCTAGGGGCACTTCCCTTGCCTCTCTTACCTTCTTAATGCCCTTCTCCATGCATCTAATTCTATATGCCTTTCAAGAGCCAGCTTTTATGCCACTTTTTCCTGGAAGTCTTTCCTGATCTCAAGTCTCCTTCCCTTTCTTAGCCAGAGGTGATTGTTCACTCTTCTGAATTCCCATACATTTTATTTCTGCCCCTAGTGGGTTTCTGATCTTATTGACTATAAGCCATCTTATACATCTTGGTATCTCCCACAACAGCTATTAGGTACTCAGTAGGTGCTTATTGAGTAAAAAGAATTGTATATTCACTATTTATTCATTATAACATAATAGGCTTATGCTCATTCAGGGTAGGAACTATGACTATTTCATTCCCATTCTGTATTTTCAACCCCTAGCACAAAGGAAACACTCAGTATACATTTGTTAAATGAAATACATCACAGTTATCAGTTATTGGGATATAAATTTCCTTAAGACACAATAGATGTCTGGAAATACTACTTTATGTTATATTTTTTAAAATATTAGTTACCAATGTTTCTTCATTTTATATTGACAAATACTCCAGGATAAAGGTCATGTATTAATATTCTCACTTTACAGAAGAGGATACTGAGGCTTAAAGAAATTGAGTAGTTTATTTATGATCATACGGCCAATGAGTAACAGAATTGAGTCTAAAATTCAAGTCTTCAGATGCTAAGTTTAGAGTTTTTCTTTGCTAACAATGCTTTGGCCAAAGGCTCCTTTGGTTCCATTTGCTTTAGAATTGTTGGGGTTAAACTATTGCTACCATGCTGGGTGGAATAGACCTAGATCCTTGACTGACCCATTGTCTGGATGTTGGATATTTTCAAAATCAAACAGAACACTAAAACCATTTTCTGAGGGTGCCTGGGTGGCTCAGTCAGTTAAGCGTCCGACTTCAGCTCAGGTCATGATCTTACAGTTTGTGGGTTCAAGTCCCGTGTTGGGCTCTGTGCTGACACCTCAGAGCCTGGAGCCTGCTTCAGATGCTGTGTCTCCCTCTCTCTCTGCCCCTCCTCCACTTGTGCTGTTTCTATCTCTCTCAAAAATAAATAATAAACCTTAAAAAAAATTTTTAAGCCCTTAAAAAAAAAAGAACTATATATTCTGAAGGAAATCTTGGCCACTTATGTCACTTCTTCCAAGGTGAGATGCCTGTCTTTTCAGGAACTCTTCTCCTTGTAGGCTTCTATCCCTAGTTGGGTTGGCTATTAATATGTGGGTCTGATTTCAGTGTAGAGAGTAGGTCTCCAGATATTTGCCAGGCAGTAAAATCTGGTACTCACCACTACATAGTATTCATTGAGAGCAGGGGGAAGAGATTGGGGGAGCTTTGCTTGATGCACAAGCAGTCATTCCATTTTCATATTAATTTACTCTTAAGTCACATCAGCAGCAAGCTGAGAACCTAGCCTCCATAGACTTGAAAAAAAAATGCCTAACCTTAATACAAAGAATGCTTTTACCTCTCCTGAGCAATTGCTTTGTTTTTACCTTACGGACATTGTGAATGTTTAACTTTATAGTCTCTGGTTAGCTGCCAAAAATCTTAGAGCCAAATTTGTGGCCCACCCATAGCAAATGTGCTCTATGCCTCGTTAAACTTTGTTCCAGGCTCTAGTTTATGTCTCTCCTGAAGTTATTCTCTTTTCTTAAGAAAATCTTAAGATTTGGGGCACCTGGGTGGCTCAGTCGGTTAAACATCCAACTTCAGCTCAGGGCATGATCTCATGGTTCATGGGTTTGAGCCCTGCATCTGGCTGTGTGTTGACAGCTCAGAGCCTGGACCCTGCTTTGGATTCTGTGTCTCCTCTCTCTGCCCCTCCCCCACTTGCACTCTGTCTCTCTCTCAAAAATAAATAAACATTTTAAAAAAACCTTTTTTTTAAAGAAAAGAAAATCTTAAGATATTTTCATTCGATCTTATGTTGTATATTTATATTAATATGTATGTGTATATACATATATTTCTCATAAACAGCCCTATATTGTTTCTGAAATAGTTCAGATTATTATATACTATATGCACATAAAACCATCTTTGGTGCTTCTTAATTACCTCACTTACTTTAGGGTCTTTTTTCTTGAGGGGTATATTTATTTTTTCTTACAGGTTTTTCAGACTTGATTACAGAAAAATGTCTGTGCCACAAAATTTTATTATTTTAGTAGTGTAATCAAATGGTAAAATACCTGGTCTGATGGCCAGAATTGATTATTAATGGCTAGAATTAATTGATTATTCTAGCCCAGTCTTTCACAGAAATGATATTATTATAATATGCTTTGTTTTATACTCTCAATCTGCATGTGACCGTTTATTGCTTTGGATTTTTAGTGATGTTGTAATGCTGTCAGGTCAATGCACAGCAGTTAACTCTCTCTGGCTTAAATATTATGTTATCTTGCACATTTATCAGACTTCTTGTCTTTGTTAGCACCTTCGGTGATCATGAGCATATTAATCTTATCATATACTTTGTGTTGCTGTACTCTAAGTTAGTCATGCTTTTGTTTGGAAAAGATAATATGAAGAGATATTTGCTTCCAAACTTCATTTGCTTTCACTGGTGTGGAGCGCTATGTAGATGTTCTGATCATCTTACTAATACCATTTAATTAATAATATAAATGCTATTGGAACAACATTTTATATTCTTTTAATAACTTCAAGTAAAATTATTTGGCCTTTCTGCAACTCACTGAGGCATGTAAGCAGATATATGCCCTTTTTACAGACAACAAAGCAAAGACAAAATCATTTAAATTTTGTGATAAAACTAGGGCTAGATCCAGGTCTCCTGATTCCTGTGCCTAACTACCTTTCAATGATAAAAATTTCTAACTTATAAACATTGCATAATCTTTATCTTACCCCTTGAAGTGAAAGATGAGAAATGGATGAGGAAAACTAGATCACTCATACTCAAAACTGAGCAGAATCAGGAATGATTTTCATTTGTAAAACTCATGATTTTCTGTTCTTGAAATGTTCTTTCATTTATCTTTTTTTCAAGTTTATTTATTTATTTTTGAAAGAGACAGAAAGCACAAGCAGGGAAAGGACAGACAGAGAGAGGGAGACACAGAACCTGAAGCAGGCTCCAGGCTCTGAGCTCTTAGTGCAGAGTCCGACGCAGGGCTCAAACCCATGAACTATGAGATCATGACCTGAGCCAAAGTTAGACGCTTAACCGACTGAGCCATCCAGGCACCCCTGTAGTTCCTTTTAACTACAGCTCTAATCACTGTCACTTTCCATTATGGAATGAGGAAGCAATATTTTTATCTTATCTCAAAAATAAATGTTGAAATGGAAGCTATTTCCCTTGTTAATAAGCAACATTTTTCTTCAGACTCTTTGAAAATTCACTTTAATGTAAAAATAACTTGCCATTGTTATCATGCATATTCATTAAAGGACCAAATATAGGGTTAATGGTAGGAAGTTTGATAAATGTCTGTTATAATTTTAACCAATGTCTGCATTTAAAGAGGAAGATAAAAATTCATGCTTACTGTTTCAGCATGAAAATTTTCCAAAGTTTTCATTTTAACTAATTGTTAACACACAATCCGGAAGCTAGAGTCTGTTGAATGTTTACTCTCAGGCAGGCATTATTGCTAAAAACTTTACAATTATATTTAATCTTTAAAAAAACCTGTAAGAGTAGCTACTATTTATGATCCCCATTTTACAGCAAGGTATCATATTCAGCAGTAAATATTATCTTCTGCCTCTCCTTCAGCTACTGGAATTTCTGATCAGCCCTGGTCAGGACAAGATGGACCCTGTAGTTTTGAGTTACATGGACAGTCTACTGCGGCAATCAGATGTCTCGCTGTTGGATCCTCCAAGCTGGCTCAATGACCATATTATTGGATTTGCCTTTGAGTACTTTGCCAACAGTCAGTTTCATGACTGCTCTGACCATGTCTGCTTCATCAGTCCCGAAGTTACCCAGTTCATCAAGTGCACTAGCAACCAAGCAGAGATTGCCATGTTCCTTGAACCCCTAGACCTCCCCAACAAGAGAGTTATATTTTTAGCCATCAATGATAATTCCAATGAGGCAGCTGGGGGAACCCATTGGAGTTTGTTGGTTTATGTCCAAGATAAAAATAGCTTTCTTCATTATGATTCCCATAGCAGAAGCAACTCAGTTCATGCAAAGCAGGTAGCAGAGAAACTGGAGGCTTTCTTAGGCAGAAAAGGAGACAAACTAGCCTTTGTGGAAGAGAGAGCCCCTGCTCAACAAAACAGCTATGACTGTGGGATGTATGTGATATGTAACACTGAGGCCTTGTGTCAGAACTTCTTTAGGCAACAACCAGAATCACTACTGCAGCTACTCACTCCTACATACATCACAAAGAAAAGGGGGGAATGGAAAGATCTCATTGCCAGACTTGCCAAAAATTAGCTATCAAAGAATATTTGCGGCTGTTGAAGTCTCCTCTTTCTGCCCATCCCCATCTATTGGATGGCTGTAATCTCAGTGCCTGAAAGAAGATGCCTGGTATCTTATTTTTCCCTGGAAGAATGTCATCTTCTGCATTATCCACATGGAAAGTTTCACTTTAACCCTAACTTGAGAGCAATATGCTCTGTGAAAATGTCTTGAAGTTATGCATCAAAACCTTAAAACCACGCTGTCTGAACATTTATTATTTCCCTTTTTGTCTCCCTTATTCCCATTGGCTTATTCAAAGGAAAAGCAGTGATCTTTAAAGAAACCAAGTGTATGTCATATCCAGAAGAATGCAAGAAGAACATTATAGAAGAATCAAAAACTTATTGCACAGCCCTGCATATTTAAAGAGATCAACTGGCTAGAAGCAGGTCAAGATCTAACCTAATTCAAGATCTAAGTATTCTAAGAATCAGTTATTCAGTTCTGTGATACCTCTTCCATTCTCCATGCAGAGGCTTTCCCAGCTATCTTTGTAACCTTTGCAGATATTTGATAAAGATGATGTTAGCCCATCTTCCCCCACTCTATTCCTGGAGTGTTTTAAGAAAGGGGGAATCTTTAACTTCATTAAAATAAATGGCTGTTGGACCTTTTAGTTTGCTCAGTGAATGGGTTGACTTGCTACTCTGCATTGATAACAGCTTTTCTTCACCTTGTCTGTTAGCCATGCAACACTCCTTCCTTTTATATCCAAAGTTCTGTGGTTTTAAAACTCATAGCCAATAACTTCCCAAGGTTGCCTGTTATTTCTAATAAATATTGCTGCTTTCTAATAGTCATAGTTTTTCCTTTCCTCTTTATCCATAATCTGGCAGAATTGTTTTCAACCATGGTGATTTCAGGACTATTATCATATCTGAAACTTGCAAACTGAAAGTTGGCTTGTTTTTTTTTTTTTTTTTTTTTTTTTTTTTTTTTTTTTTTGCAGTTATAAAGCAGATAAAGTGAGCTTTCTCAACCCTTTTACTTAATTCAAAATGCAGACAATGTAATTTTTAAAATATGGAACCAAGAATAAAAAGAAATGCTATCCCTCCTAAATCATTGATGTGTTTTTTTCTGAGTTGTTTCAAATAATTAACAACCCGATATGTTGGGTACACACATTAATTCTATTCCTAATGAAAACTAGATTGCAGTGCTTACGAGACCTAAAAACCAAAGATTAGTTTCAGCTGTGAAATTTATTTCACCTCCCTCCCCAACCTAACCTTGCCCCCAGCCCTCATAGCCCAAAATAATCTCACCACTCAGTAACCACAAAGGCAGTAACTCCATTCTTTTTAGTCAGGGGAGTGGGGGGAAACCACAGTGTAAGTAAGACAGGTTACAAAGCAGGCCCAAGTGAACATGAGTTGAAACTGAAAGTCTGAGAAAGCTACAGAAAAAGTTTCCATTTCAAGTCAGTATGTTTTGGATAAAAAGGAGACCTAATGAAGATGGGAACAGGCAAAAAAAAAAAAAGATTAGGAACTGGCAATCAGCCATAGAGGTGAAATAGGGAGGGAAGGGGAGTAAGAGAAGTGACATGGAATGCTGAAGCCATGATTGTAGATAAAGATAAGAAGACAATATTATTTTAGTAACTGTTGACTTAGGTATCTAGTCTAGACTATGAAAAAGGCAAATGCTCTCTGGGAAAAGTTGTTTCTATAATGCAAAGTATGTCTGTTTAAATGTCAGATTGTCTCCCTCTTATAAGTTAATACATATGAGAGCAATCTTTCCTGACTCCCTAAAAGTCATACCAGAAATAAATTACATTTTGAACTAAACTAGTAAAGTCTTAAAAAAAAAAAATCTAAGGTCTCCTTTTCCAAATGAATAACGTGATTGGACTGTGCCACAAGTTAGTCTTCTATAAAACTTTTGAGTATGGCATTTTTAAGTATTAGCATTATAAATGACAGGAGACTTTAAGAGTTGACTTGTAACATTTCACTAGATACTTTAATAGCCATAGGTCATGTACTTGCTTGACCATACACCATTGATGCTATGTGATACAAAATAGGGAAAAGATCTTTTGTGGTATTGTTTCCTTTTCTCAGAGTCAAAAGAATCCAGTCTGCAAAACGCAGCTTCAAAATATTCAAAAGGAAAGCAAGATTTTTAGAACTGGATTGAGCAATTGTTACACTGAACTTCCCTGCTTTCAAATACCCTGATGTATTGCTCCAAAAGTATATTCATACTTGTCCAACCCATGTCTCTTGGAATTTAGAAAAGTTACCACTTATAAACCCAGCTATGGATGGTGGTCAAAAATAAAAAATTATCAATGGGCTTTTTTTTTATTTGAGTATAGCTGACACATAATGTTACATTAGTTTTAGGTATACAGTGATAATATATTAATACAGATTAATATTAATACAGGTAATATATTAATACAGATATTTAATCCCGTTCAAATCATAAATATTTCTCCTCTTTTGTTAGATGGCTGTTAAAGTTCCTAAACACTAGTCCTAACTAGATCAGAATAATGAAAAAACCACAAGTGGATTATATTTCTGATATAATCAGAATACCTTATTATTTTTACTATAAGTTTTACTATCTCCATATTAACCATATGTTTTAATAAAACATATTTCATTAAAATGACAAAGTAGAATTTCTTAGTCTTGGTTATCTACTGATACTGAAGTTTTTTTCTTCCATCACTTAAAATAGAAAAGGAGAAAATACAAAAATTTACATGCTGTGCTCATGGGAAAGAACATGAGTGTTTTAATCAAATTCAAGCCCCATCTGTTATAAATGTATAGCCTCAGGCAGGTTTAAGATTGAGTAGCCTTGGGGTGCTTGGGTGGCTCAGTCTGGTAAGCAGCCAACTCTTGATTTCAACTCTTGAAATCAAGCCTTAGTGTGGAACCTGCTTGGGATACTCTCTTTCTCCCTCTGCCCCTTTCCCCCACTTGCACTCTTTCTCTCTCTCACTCTCTCTCACAAATAAATAAACTTAAAAAAAAAAAAGGTTAAGTAGCCTCATTTGCAAAATGAAAGTAGTAGTGTGTTTAAGCAAGTGCTATAAGGATTCAATATTATAGGTAAAGCATACAGTAGACACTAAAATAAACCTATTGCCATCTATCTCACTACCGAGTTCCATTTTAAGTCTAGCAACAAGTTTAAAAAATTAGTTGTTTTTTTAAGATTTTATTTAAGTAATCTCTACACCCAATGTGGGGCTCAAACTCACAACCCTGAGATTAAAGAGTCACACACTCCCACCAAATGAGCCAACCAGGTGCACCTGAAAACTTAGTTATATTGTAACTAAACAGCTGTATAAAAAATGGCCTGATAGTTAAAAACTTAGTCAAGGATTGTAAATGGCAACAACTAATCTTCCTATCACTTTATAATGTACAAGTTACTTTATGTTACTAGATATTATAATTATATAATCTCACTTAATTGTCATGTTTTGCCAGGTATCATTATTCTAGTCATAGATAAGAAACAAACTCAGAGAAGTTCAGTCACATGATTGAGAGTGACCAGAACTCCTTACTTGAACATTTTAAGTAATCTCTCACTTTATACATTTCATAAATTCAGCTGGTATATTACAGACAGCAATATTGAGAAATTGTCATCTCAATTAACTGCTGGGTAGCAGAACCTATATAATTGGCTTTGCTTTATATGTTAGGTCATGTTTGGATCAGCTCCTGACATTGATCTACCGATCTAATGCATTTTAAAAGCCCTACATTGTACTTCCTTTCACATTCCATGCATATGAAAGATGGGAAGTAGAAAGAGAGCAGCAGCCTTGGGTATCTCATAAAAAAGAGCTTAAAGGAATTTCATTTTATACAAGTAAAACTGAGCAAAGGGGCGCCTGGGTGGCTCAGTCGGTTAAGCGTCCGACTTTGGCTCAGGTCATGATTTTGTGGTTTGTGAGTTTGAGCCCCGCGTGGGGCTCTGTGCTGACAGCTCAGAGCCTGGAGCCTGCTTCTGATTCTGTCTCCCTCTCTCTCTGCCTCTCCCCCGCTTGTTCTCTGTCTCTCAAAAATGAATAAATGTAAACAAAATTTTTTTAAAAAACCAACAAATAAAACTAAGCAAAGATGGAGCACTCTGTACGCAAGTGGGGAAAATGAGACAAAAGAAATTCCACTAAGGAAAAATCTGGTGCTAAATGCATGTAAATGAAGTTTTCTTATGTAGGGAAAAGCTAACATGTCAGAGTGTCAAAGGAAATGGAAGCCAACTTCAGTGTCAGCAGTAGGAAGAGTTATCAGGAAACTAGAAGAAAATAATTAGATCCTGTGGTTTGTGCTAAAAGACAAGAGAGAAGGATTACTTTGTGCCTCTTTTCCTTCTGGATACCCAAACGAAGAAACCTGTTTGGAACCCTCTCCCCATGACACAAGCTGGGTCAAAGTTTTCTGCACTGGGCTGTGCTTCCCCAGCCAGCTCACACTCTGGCTCTCCACTGCTGCCACCTCAGTCTACATTCCACAAGCCTGCAAAGCCCTTACCTCCTGCACTCTGCAACTTCAGAAAGAAAACAGGAACTACCATGTACCCCTTCAACGTTCCTGACTCCAAATCTATGAACCTACCTGTATCTATACCACTTTTGAGCATTCTCCACTCCTATTGCAGTGACTCTCATAAGGAAAAGGCTAATCCCTTAACCTGTACACAGGACCTTGTGCAAACGGCACACACACACACACACACACGTACACACACACACACACCATCGTCATCATCTCCACTCTTCTCTGCTGGCTCCTTTCCAATAGCACCTGGATGTATAGATGTATTAAATCTCTCCATCTTTAAAAATAAATAAAAGCATAACCTCATGTCTCCCTCTAGATATTGACCTTTTGCTTTCCTCCTCTTTAACAGCCAAATCTAAAGTGTCACAATTTCTCACCTCCCTCCCACTTCTCAAACCACTTTAATCTAGATTCTGCTCC